CAGTGGCTTAAACTCACACTGGGTGCATGTATGTACATGCCTAGGATCCCGAGGAGAAAGGAGGAGAAGGGACTGCGGTGTGGCCATCCCTCCTAGGGGGTGATTTCTTACTTTATGTCTGTCTTTCTGGCAAGCGCACATGCCCTAGAGCAAAAACCTCTCCAAAAATAAATAAATTAAAAAATGCCACTCTGGAAACCCCTCTTGAAGTTTTCTAAGAGTATAGCTCTCTGTATTTCCACCCCTTTTTAGTTAGCCCCCCCTCCCCCTGAGATAAAACATCTACAGAGCATCTGAAGCAGGTAAGTTGGAGGTAGAACAGAAAGATTAAATTCTCACCAGATGGTGAGAGGTATTGGAAAAGCACCTTCATGAAATAAACTGATCCTCTGAATGGAAGCCTCTCTCACATGCAGCAGAGTAAGTGCTCAGTCAACACTCCTGAAAATTTCAAGTTCAGAGCGTCAGGTCAGGACAACTAGGGATGTGGAAGCAGATATATTGTGAGCAACTACACACCCTCACAAAATGGTTCTCAGTACCACACACAGACCAAGATGCAGTCCACAATGGACCACACTGCAAGTGAGTCAGTCATCCAGGAACTAAAGCCCCACACTGGGAATCTCCCAGGCAAAGGCACCTTCAACACCTTCATGCCACCAGCAATGCACATTTCCACTGGCAATCAACATTCCCTAATCAGATTAGGTGTTAAATGGCTCTACTTTGTGCCAGGGGACATTTCTTTCTTTCTTTTTCTTTCAGAGGTTTTTGCTAAATGGGATGTGTGTGTGCTCACCAGAGAGGTAGAAAGTGCTCACCAGAGAGGTAGAAAGAGAGAAATCACCCGGGGGGGTGGGGGTGGGGGATGGCACACTGCAATCCTTTCTCCGCCATTCCTCTTCAGGAATTTTGGACACACGCGAATACACGCCCAGTGAGTTTAAGCTACCAGATCCAGGACCCAAACCGTGGACTATGTGGGAGTCCAGCAACATAGCCATTATGGCATCTACTGGTCTCTTTAAAAAAAAAAAAAAAGAGATCCATTTTTTGCTATATAGGGTGTGCACACTTGCCAGAGACAGTCCCCTTCTCCTCTTGGGATTTTGAGCACACACACACATGAGCCCTACCTGAGTTTTTAAGCCACTGGATCTGGGACTTGAACTGTGGTCCAGCAACAATAACCATTTTGCCACTTATTGGTTCTAGGCCAGAGAACATTTCTAAACTACTTTTTTTTTTTTTGGAGAGATTTTCGCTATAGGGTGCGTGTACTCGCCAGACAGAGAGAGACAGAAAGCGAGAAATCACCCCCCAGGGGGGATGGTCACACCGCAATTCCCTCTCCTCCACTCTCCCTCGGGATCTTGGGCACGCACGCACACGCACCCGGCATGAGTTTTAGGCCACCGGGTCCGGTACGCGAACCACGGTCGACTACGTGGGAATCCAGCGACATAGCCATTACGCTAACTGCTGGTTCCCTAAACTACTAATTTTTTTAAAGTTTGCTACAGAGCACATGAGCTAGCTGGGGATAGAAAGTGAGAAACCACCCTATGGAGGGGAATGACCACACCTCAATTCTTTCTTCTCCATTCTTCTTCTTCTTCTTTTTTTTTTTTTTTTTTTGAGAGGTTTCTGCTATAGGGCGCATGCGCTCACCAGACAGAGAGACACAGAGAGATGGAAAGCGAGAAATCACCCCCCAGGGGGATGGCCACACCACAATCCCTTCTCCTCCATTCTCCTCTTCAGATCTTGGGCATGCACACACACGTGCCTGGCGTGAGTTTAAGCCACTGGGTCTGGGACTTGAACTGGGTCCGGGACTTGAACCGTGGTCGACTACGTGGGAGTCCAGCGACATAGCCATTACGCTAACTGCTGGTCCCTTGGGTTTTGAGCATACATGCATGCATGCCCAATGTGTTTTTCAAGCTGCCAGGTCCAGGATTTGAACCACAAAGTCGTTTATGTGAGAACCAGCTGGCTTAATCACCATGCCACCAGCTGGCCCTCTAAGCTACTTCTTACATCACACTTCGCTTTAACAGACACATCCAGCTTGCTTATTCATACTCTGCCCACTCTGGGTAGTGATTTTCAACAATTAACAATAGTTACTTATAAATTCTCCAACATTCAGGAGAATGCCTTAGTTCAACATACACATAATTTACTACACACACTCAAAAAAGTGTCCTGCCTGAGGTGGGTCTGATGGTGAAATACTCTTCCAACAGCTACCACTGAGACACTGGCCCAATCTGACCAATTTCTTTATCCAGTTTATATTCCTAGGGAAACCTAACGGATGCCCAAACTTCCACTTAGTTCCAAGCCAAACACTGCTTTCCCCTTAATGTGGGAGTCCTTCCACCTACAACCAAATCCAACTTGACTTTCAAAGTCTAAAGTTCCTCTTAATCTTTCCTAGACCCTTCCAGCCCTGTCACCGTCATCTGGCTCACTACTGTTTCTCCATTCAGAATATTTTTCTTATTCATTCCCTTCCCAGGATTTACATCTTGTCTTCTGAACTACAACCAAAATTCTCAAGAGGGCAACCATGTCTTCTTACACTGAAAAACCAGAAGCTATACTGAGGGCATAAGTGTTATTAGATAGTCTCCTGGTTTCAATCCACTGCTCCAATCTGCCAGTTCACTAGAATTACAGGTGTACACTACCAGGCCCAGCCTGTTCAAGCTAGCCCGACATCTGAACCTGGGCCTGCTATATTGTTCCACTTCTACCACCAAAACTGGGCCAAGATTGGCTAACTTTTCAGTGAACTGAAAGATTATGTGATCTGAGACCAGCAGTTAGCGTAATGGCTATGTCGCTGGACTCACATGTAGTCAACTGTGGTTCGAATCCCGGACCTGGTGGCTTAAACTCACGCCGGGCGCATGTGCATGCGTGCCCAAGATCCCAAGAGGAGAATGGAGAAGGGATTGTGGTGTGGCCATCCCTTCTAGGGGGTGATTTCTCGCTTTCTATCTCTCTGTCTCTGTCTGTCTGGTGAACGCACACGCCCTATAGCAAAAACCTCTCAAAAAAAAAAAAAAAGATGTGATCTGGGACATCTGCCCACTAGAAACCATAAAAGTTTGGGACCGGCAGTTAGTGTAATGGCTATGTCTCTGGACTCCCATGTAGTCGACCATGGTTCACGCCCCAGACCCGGTGGCTTAAAACTCACGCCGGGCGCATGTGTGTGCGTGCCCAAGATCCCGAGAGGAGAATAGAGAAGGGATTGTGGCGTGGCCATGCCCCTGGGGGGTGATTTCTCGCTTTCTGTCTGTCTCTGCCTGGCTAGTGAGCACATGCGCCCTATAGCAAAAACCTCTTTCAAAAAATAAACAGGGACCAGCAGTTAGCATAATGACTATGTTGCTGGACTCCCACATAGTCGACCGCGGTTCAAGTCCCGGACCCAGTGGCTTAAACTCACGCCAGGCGTGTGTGCGTGCGTGCCCAAGATCCCGAGAGGAGAATGGAGGAGAAGGGACTGTGGTGTGGCCACCCCTCTAGGGGATGATTTCTCGCTTTCTATCTCTCTGGCGAGCTCACGCGCCCTATAGCAAGAAAAAAAAAACTCTCCAAAAATAAATAAATAAATAAAAAATAAAAGTTTCAGTAAGGAATTTTTGTTTAAATACCAGAGCCATAGTCTACAGGAAGTCAAGAGAAGATTTAAATCACTACACTGTCTGTTCATCTTTTTTCTATATTGTCTATTCAATCTTTCTGAAAGACCCCAGTATCCTTTAAGTATGAGTAGTGATATTATTCACTCATGTGAGCCTAATAACTCCTGAGTATTACAGATCAAGAGCTAATAATATGATCCTGTTTCCCAGAAGCTGGTATTTCCTTCACAAATTAAGCATGGCATACATTAGTAGTAATCCTGGAGGGTCAGTGAAGAGCTATGTGTGTCACAATCCTGTTCGAGATACCTGAGATGGATAGAGGGAAGTGGCAGATGAGACACTCTAGCAAGTATGAGAATCTATTACCTTTCTCACTAAAACCAAGACAAATAGAAGACAAGTTTATTTCCTGATATTAAAGGGAACCAGAAATCCAGAACTGGTCATGGAGGTCAGCAAATTTCTTTTTTCCCTCTTTTTAAAAACTTTTTGCCAGAGAGCATGTGCAATCATTGAAGAGAGACAGAGAGAGAGGGAGGGCAAGAGAAAGAAAGGGAAAGTGAGAAAGCATCCCCATGGGAGATGGTCACACTGCAACCCCTTCTTCTCTGGTTCTCCTTTCTTTCAGGATTTTGGGCAAGCACACACACACATGCCCCTGCATGTTTCTCAAGCCACTGGGTCCAGGACTCGAACCGTGCAGTCAGCCATGTGGGATCCAGCCGCCTTAACCACCATGCCCAGCAAGTGTTTTCTGTAAAATGTCAAATGATAAATATTTCAGGCTTTTTGGTTAAATATTGTCTTTGTTGTATACATACTTTTTTCTTAAAAATAAAGATTTTATTTTATTCATTATTATTATTTCTTAATTTGACCAGAGAGAGAGAGAGAGAGAGAAAATAACTTAAACCTATCTACGAGAGGGAGGTGTTATCAATGGCAGTGCAGTTTTGTGTTAAGACCTGAAGTACTGGCTCCAGTTAACCATATAAGTAAGAATTCAAAGACAGAATCTAGCAACCCTCTGGTTATTGTAGCAGTGTCTAATGAGCTACAACAGAAACTGCCTTCTCAAGCTAAACAAAGGTACACAAATTTAACCTATTTAATGGTTAAGTGAATAGTCACATCTAAGGCTACAAAAACAAACTATTTACTACTTACTGTATACTTACTTTTTATTGAAAGTATACTGCATTCATCATGGATAGTTTTCTGGGTTTTATCACTTATTTTAATGTTAAATGTTTAAGTATTTTTACATGCAAACAGTGTAAATAGGTTTTTCTACATGGGAACAGTGACTATAAAAGTATGACATCCACATGGGTTAAATGTCTTTAATTGAAATGCCAACAACCTGTCTAGTTACAGTTTTTCAAAAAAAGAAAAAACCCTCAACCAACCACAAACTAGGCAGTAGCTAAGTCTGTAGGCAATACAGTCAAAGCTGACAGGATAAAAACAAAAAACAACTCCTCAGATCCAAATGAGGGAGCCCTACTACATACGGGCTAATCACGACCAGTGGTACTGTACTTAACTCTAGGCGGTTGGAAGACATCCTAATAAGTTCACTCAGAACATTCAAGTAGCCCTTTTCCAGTTTCCAACTCATGAATAAAGATAATTTTTTGTTAAGTCTATTTCAGAAAACTTTTCCAAGTTGCTTTATTTACAATGACAACTTTTAAAAGGTCACCAAAGTTAAATGGACAATCAACTAGGCAGAAATGGCTTTACGAGAAGAGGAAAAGCCCAAAATGCCACTTTTGATAGAGAACCCACAGTTCAGTTTTATTCAGAGCAAAGAAAAAAGAAACTTTCGATCGTACTGGAAGAAACTCAGCCATAGGTTTGTAATCTGTACTCAAACTACACATGCAATAAGGACAATATTCCGCTAATACAACTGATGTGCTGCTGCATTCGTCTACTGTTTGTCTAATATTAACAATTATAAACAGAGCAGTGCAACTAGTATATGGAACAATTCTTAGTGTTACAGTGTCAGGCACAACTTTTCACTTCTCTTCACACCACTGGTTCTCTTTGCGTACCTAGAAGAGACAGGCATAAGGAAGTATTTTAACTTAAGAAATCTTTTCTAAGACTTAGTCTATGAAGTAGGTCAGAAGGACAAGTGAAAAACTAGAAAAATATCAGGTTAAGAGTATACTTCTTGATTCCCTTTGTTTGCTTCCCTAGGTTTTTATTCTGCTCTATTCATATTCTATTTAAAAAAAAAAAAAAAAAGGCAATGGGCAATGACAGCTTCAGTCAGTAAAGTTGACAGAGTGAGCTGAATTAGTTTATTACCATAATTTCAGTTTGTAGCCCTGTCAATAAAGTCAATCTGATTTACTCATTTCCTCCCCATTTGCATAGTTGCTCTGAAGTATGCTAGCATACATTCCACTCTGTTTTTTCTGAAACTGGAAATGTACAAAAGGTGCAAGGTGCCCACATAACTAGTTAACTGCTAATGAATTAATAGTATGAAACAAGTCCCTTGGTTGAAAACTACCTGTTCTTATGCTTATGAAAGAGCAGTATCATGTAAGTATTTAGACTCACAGAGATAGATCACTATGTTTAGGTGACATTAAGATTTCTATTATTCCTCAAGTATCAAGACTCCTTGAAAGGCACTTCTTTTCCTGGTATGTTATAGATTTTATTGGGTCATCAGAAAAGCCATGATGCATTTTTGCACAGAAAACATGTCGTGACTTTTCCAATGACCCAAGAGTCTCTTAAAAAGCATGTGATCAAGGTCAAACTATGTGCTACCTACCTGGGCTTCCTCCTCTTCAGTAAAGTCATTTTTGATATTGAAAGTCTTGCGAATCTCCTCAGGAGTTTTTCCCTTGATCATATTGGCAACAGTCTTGCATGTAACATCAAGCAAACCTTTGATGTCCAAGTAGTTTGCAGCCTGTGAAGTGACAGTCATTTACATTATACTCGATACTTTAAAATCCAAAATTAGTGAATGACAATCCAAACCCGATTAAGCTTAAAAGCTAGCTGATTATAAGAAATTATAAAAGAATAAATCAAAATTTTCTGTCAAAGACACTTTGGTATGTACCCTCCTCTGCTATACCTCTTAACATGAAGTCCTTGTGCTGCCTTAGGAAAACTGTATCAGCTCAAATGTTAAATGGTACGTACGAGCACACACAAATACTGCAAGTCAGGGCTTGGCAAAAATATGTATCCACAGTTAAAAGAATTCAAATATAAGTAGTGTTATGGTTTGAAAGTGTCTGCCCCAAATTCACATGAGTCACTGTGACAGTATAAACATAGTAGAAACTTAATCTGATTATAACAGTAAGAGGTGGAGTCTCTGAGAGATGGTCAAGATTGGATTAAGTCATTAAGGTAGGACCCCGACTGAATTGTGGTAGTTTTTTGAGACACAAAGACACAATCTCTTGCTCTCTCATCGTATGATACACAGTGTCACACCTTGGGATTCTGCGGGGAGTCCCTACCAACAAAAAGATCCCTCATGGTCTTACTGGTGGGAACTCTGTAGTTTTCAAGACGACCCCAGATGAAGTCCCTTGGTCTCAATCCTCAAAACTATGAGCTAAATAAACTTCTATTTTTTTAATTTACCCAGTGTGATACTTTATAAACAGACAGAAAAGTAGACTAAAATAAGCAGTTTAAAGCATTACATTTTCCGGATTTTTCTCACAGAACCAGCTTTTGGCTTCATTGACCATTGTTTTACTGTTTTCTAAGTCACTGGTTTCCAACTTTTCATTATTATTATTATTTTTTAATGAAAAACCATCTAACAAGCACAAGAAAAGGAAACAGAAGTATTTTTGATAGGGTCACACCCTTTATCCTCTACCCCAACCTCCCAACGAGCTAGGATTACAGGTGAGTGCTAGCACCCAGCCTGTTTCTCAGGTTGGTTCAGAATCTAGACCCAGCCTCCCACGTGGCCCTAGCCTCAGGCAGCAGTGCTCTACTGCTTGTATCACGGGAGCTGTGCTTTTTTTTTTTTTAGTGAGACAGACAGATACTGATTTTCCCACAAGTCTCATTATATTATGAACATCCTGCCCCACTCTTCCAGTTAGCTAGGATTATAGACATATGGCCTTGTCTCTGGGATGTTTGAGATTGGGCCAAGAATGTAACCTAGGCCTCACATGTGACCTCTGCCTCCCAAAAGCAGTATCTTAACAGTACATGCCACCATAGCTGAGCCTCTGCTCTGTAATATTCTCATTCTACTGCTTACTTTGGATTTAATTTCATCTTTCCTTTGTTTAAGGTGGATGTTTAGATTACTGATTTGAAACTTACCTTCTTTAATATAGTTACTCCAGCTTCCTTTTGCTAAGTATTAACATAGCATACCTTCTATTCATTAAACCTCAGGATATCTTATATTATAGTGGGTTTTTTATAGACAACATATCCAATTCTTGCTTTCAAAGTCAATCTAACAATCTTTGCCTTTTAAGTGTGGTATCTAACATATACATTTATGAGATTACTGTTAAGTAGATTTAAAATAGCATCTCATATTACATCTGAGTTAAGATAGTATAGCCATTCAATATCAATGAATTTATTCATTCTATAAGATATGTAATGTTAAAAACATACCAGGATAAGCTCAAAAAGTGTTCCTTGGTCAACCTTCAGAAATTCTTGGTCCCAAACAGGAATGTCGTCTGTTCGCTTCTCTTTGTTCTCATCATCTTCAGGAGGAGGAGGGTCATCCTTGTGGTGGGTACACCACTGAATGACCTACAACAACAAAAGTTCATTCCTCTGTGTTATTTTTGAGACACTGAACTTTTTCCACTGTTGGGCAACATTATTCACACACTGGGTTAACAGCTAGCTAAAGACTGACTTGAACAATAAACTAACAGTCAAACTTAAAAATAAAGTTTGGAACCAGCCAATGGCACCATGGATAAGGTGACTGGATCCCACATGACTGACTGTACGGTTCAAGTTCTAAACTTTGATGCCCAAAATCCTGAAAGGAAAAATGGAAAAGGTAAGTTTAGGCATGACTACCACCCATGGTGCAGGGGTGTTTTTTCACTTCCTCTTTACCTCTGTCTCCAGGGAGCACGCACCCCCTTCAGCAAAGTAAAAAAAAAAGAAAAAAGAAAGAAAGGCAAAACAGAGCACTACATTTGATCACATTAAAATTTTCTGTACAGGACCAGCAGATGGCATAATGGTTTCATTGAATCATACATTTAGAAAATGGTTAAAATGGTAAATTTCAGGTTCTGTGTATTTCACTACAAAAAAAAAAGACCGTTAAACTACAAAACATAGATAAACCTTGAAATTATACTACATAAAATAATCCAGACATGAAAGGACAAATATGATTCCATGTTTAAGTACACAGAACAGTCAAATTCACAAAGACAGAAAGTAAAATTGTGGTTACCAGGGGCAAGGGGGATGGGGAAATGAGTTATCATTTAATGGGCTGTTTCAGTTTGGGATAATGAAGAAGTTCTGGAAATGGTAATTTATGATATTTGCATAACACTATGAGTGTACCTAATGCCACTCAATAGTATGTTTTAAAAAAAGGACCAATGCAGTTAGCATAATGGCTATGTTGCTGGACTCCCACGTAGTCAACCGTGGTTCGCATCCCAGACCCAGTGGCTTAAAACTCATGCCGGGCACATGTGCATGCATGCCCAAGATCCTGAGAGGAGAATGGAGGAGAAGGGATTGCAGCGTGGCCATCCCCCTGGTGGGTGATTTCTCCCTTTCTGTCTCTGTCTGGCGAGCACACGCGCCCTATAGCAAAAACCTCTCCCCCCCAACTTCCCCTCAAAAAAGACCGATGACACACATACCTGCTGTGTATAAGTCAGTGGCCTTTGAAAAATCTCCTAAGGGACTGACAGGGGACCAGCAGTTAGTGTAATGGCTATGTCGCTGGACTCCCATGTAGCTGACTGTGGTTCAAGTCCTGGACTCAGCAGCTTAAACTCATGCTGGACACATGTGTATGCATGCCCAAGATCCCAAGAGGAGAATGGAGAAGGGATTGCAGCGTGGCCATCCCCCCTGGACGGTGATTTCTCACTTTCTGTCTGTCTCTCTCTGTCTTTCTGGCAAGTGCACACACCCTATAGCAAAACCTCTCCAAAAAAAGAAAAAAAGAAGGGACAGACAGGAGCTAAAACTTCCATCTCCAAGTCTAACCAGTGTTTACCCCAATATGGAAAAAAGTTGCTGTTTCTTTAGAATAAAGCATCCAATTAATGTGCTTTATTAAGGAGGTATACTCTCGTCTGGAAAACTAAAATCCTATTCAAGATGGGAAACAGATTACACGTAGAAACAAAGTGAGGTGGTCAACAAAAAAAGAAATAAGCCAGAACAATCATATTCTTGAACTCCCTTCAAGACATATTCATTTAGTGGGCAAAAGAAAATTTTCCTTTCTTTACACATTGTTGTGTCTTAGTAACTTAATGCACACTAATACAAAGGACTAGACAACTCTAATATTAATAGGGCCTGGTTAAATACACCAGAACTGGGCCAGCAGACGATGTGGTGGTGAAGGTGCAAGATTCCACTGTCGACTCCATGTTTTGAGTCCCCGCTTGAAAGGTACACTGGATGTATGTGTGTACATGCCCAAAATCCCGAGAAGAGAAAGGAGAATGGATTGTGATGTGGCCATCCCCACTAGGGAGGTGATTTCTCACACTCCCCCCCAACCTTAGCAAGTGCATGCACTCTGTGGAAAAATCTAAAAAGTATGTAATAAACTACAACAAATACCCATACTTATAAAACATTCATAAAGATAAAAAATATTATAAATGTACATAGGCTTATCATTTCATTTGTTACATGGAGAAAAAAAACATACTTTTTTATAGTATCTGTGTAAGAAAATACTGAAAGGATAAACTATTATCTGAGGGAGGGGGAAATCACAGAGGAAAAAAACAGAAAAGAGAACACAGTGTATATACATATATATTCTTTTATTTTGACTTTAGTAATTTGAAAAACACAGATCTAGAAAGGTAGTCATGCTTTAGTTCTTCCAGGGTGAAAAGCAGTGTCTTTATGGAAGGCTATTTAGCAAATTTATCAAAGTTTATATATATAAACTATCCTGTGACCCAGACATTCCACATGTAGACTTCTGTCCTAGAGAAGTGCTTACGTAGGTGTACCACACACAGAAAGTATCTTTTTACTGTCCAATCAATGACAATTGTCAACTGTAATAAGGAAGTAGACAGAATTTTTCTTAGTATATCAGTATTTAGCTTTAAAAACATTCAAGTACCATTCAAATAAGTGTTTCAAAATTTTCTGATTTTAAAGTAATTTTAAGCAGTAAGGTCTACCTAATTCGTTTGTTGAAATACTTGTATTAACCCGTTAATGTTTATTTTAATCAGAACAGACTTAACTGACATCAACTGAAATAATGTCATGTACACCCAAACTGAATCTATACCAGAATAAGTTTAATTGTGGTTTGAGTCTACTTTCAGAAATGTTTAGTCTGAAAAAGGCTAGCTACATTTTCCTGCTTCGGCAGGATTAGAAACATCACACACTAGCCTCAGAAATACTCATCATCTACACAAACAAACAAGAGCATTATATAAAAATTTAAAAGCTAAGTTCATTAAGAAGTCTACATGTGGGACCAGCAGTTTGCATAATGGCTATGTCGCTGAACTCCCATGTAGTCAACCGTGGTTCAGGTCCCGGACCCGGTGGCTTAAACTCACACTGGGCGCATGTGCATGTGTGCCCAAGATCCGGAGAGGAGAATGGAGGAGAAGGGATTGTGGCATGGCCATCCCCTCTAGGGGGTGATTTCTCGCTTTCTGTCTCTCTGTCTCTCTCTTTCCTGTCCAGCGAGTGCACTCGCCCTATAGCAAAAACCTCTCAAAAAAAAAAAAAAAAAAAAAGAAAAAGAAAAAAAGTCTACATGTTCCTACTCCAAAAATTAAACACTTTGAGATCTTACCTTTTTTAATATTGCTGCATTAACATTTGGTAGAGGAACTGGGTCATCATCTCCTTCATCATCCATTCCCAAATCTAAGAAAATCAAAACAGAGTTGCTATTATTTCTTAAATCCATTATATTATTACCAATCAGGTATATTCTCAAACAAGTAACTTGTAAGATGTGCTGTCTGAAGGAATATATAAAGTACCATACTAAAATTAGTTCTCTTAAGACCATTTCAAATTGCTAACAATGGGAGGACCATGAACCATCCAAAACAATGTAACACTGGACCAGCAGATGGCATAGTGGTTGCTGAAATCCCACATGACAGAACATGGTTCAGTCCTGGCCCTAGTGGCTTTAAATTCACACCAGGCGCGTGTGTGTGCATGCCCAAGATCCCAAGAAGAGACTGGAGGATAAAAGACTGACTGCAACATGGACATCCCCCTGGGGATGATTTCTCACTTTCTGTCTCTTTGGCAAGCGCACACACCCCATAGCAAAAAATCTCTTTGAAAAATAAATAAATAAAAATGTTAAAAAAAAAAAAATATTAAGTCAGAAGTAAACAAATACAGGAATGTTACATAAGGAGAGTTTTTAACTAGGAAAGGTGATTTAATAAATAAAACTGAATGATGGGGCAGTCATCTGGGGGGAAAAGATCAATGCTGTACCCTCACTTTATGCTTTGTAATCAATTCTCTAGTAGACTGAATTTAGAGCAGTATCACAATAGAATCTCAGTCTACTCCATCTAAAGCCCAAAGATGTATATGCACATATACACATATAAGCGCATGCGCAGCGCGCACACACACACACACAAAAACGGATCATGCAGCCACTGACACAAAGGTGGCAGGTGACTCTACACATACTGGCATTATCTATCTTAGGATTAAAGCTCCTTTTTCTTCTTTTTTTTTTTTCTTTTCTTTTTTTGGAGAGGTTTTTGCTATAGGGCATGTGCGTTCACCAGACAGACAGACAGAGACAGAGAGACAGAAAGCGAGAAATCACCCCCCAGGGGGGATGGTCACGCCACAGTCCCTTCTCCTCGCAGGATCTTGGGCACACACGCACACGTGCCCGGCGTGAGTTTTAAGCCACCGGGTCCGGGACACGAACCGTGGTCGACTACGTGGGAGTCCAGCGACATAGCCATTACGCTAACTGCTGGTTCCCCTGGCCCCAAGTTTCTAAAAGCTAGGTAAAAAAAGATAAATGTTATCTGAATAAGCATGGAAACATGCTTATATATTTGTTTAAAATACCTTCCAGAGAAATATATAAGGGGGAACCAGCAGTTAGCGTTGATGATAGTATGTCTTGAGAAGTTAAAGAGTTCAAGGACTTTCAACATGTTATCTATGCTAAAGATTTTTAATAAAAATATTTTTTTAAATAAAAAAGATCTGTCCTTCAGTTTTTATACAATAGCTGCCTAACAAAGTTACTAAATAGTTACTAATGACCAAAATTAGAGGCCAAAAGTTACTATGGTGCTGCATGGGTTTGTAGCAGAGTATCAGCAATGTAGACATGCCCAATGCTAAGTCAAACACCTGTGTCTCTAATACATTCCAAATGCTGTTCTAACCAGTGGAAAGTCAGTAATGAGTATGGAAGGGTTGGGAAGGGGGGGAAATGACTGTTACAGTTTTAGAGTTGTGCAGGATCCCTCAATGTTATTTGAGTAAAATCTTGTAGAGGCAAAAACACCTAAAGCAGAAGGTATGGCAAATGTGAAGGCCTGAAAGGAGTGGCTGACATTTTCCAAAAACACTAAGGAATGCAGTATTATAAGATGACAACTGGCAAGGGGGAGAAAGCAGGTAAGATGAAATAATGGTAGCAAGGGAGACAAACAGTAATAGGGCTTTGTATATTTTAGTGTACTGAGAAGAGATAATAGAGAGCAGAGGAGAAAAGGGAAACCTATCATGCAGTTGAGCTGACAATCCAAGCTCAAGACAGTAGCTTGGACAAGCTTTGTAGCTGAGGAGGAGGTAAGAAATGGTCTAATTTTTTTTTAACTTTTTTTTAAAAGAATTATTTTATTAGGGTATAGTGACACCTGCCATATGGCAAGAATTATTTTATTTAACTTTATTATTTACTTATTTAATTTTGACCAGAGAGGCACAGAGCGAGAGAGAAAGGGAAGTGAGAAAGCAAGCCACCAGGTCCGGGACTCAAAACAGCAAGATGACCATGTGGGAGTCCAGCACCCTTAACCAACCAAGCCATTTGCCAGCCCCAAATGGTCTAACACTGTAGTGTTTTGAAGGTAGAGGCAACAGAATTTTCCAGTATAAGGGAAGAAAAGGTGAAAGGAGTTGGAGGTGGGGGAGAGAGAGGGTTTACAGCATGTGAAAGATGGATCTGCCACTGTAGTTGCCATTAATTCATAAAGAGAAGGCTGTTAGAGGAACCAGTATTCCCACTAGGAGTGGGATATCAAGAGCTCTAGTTTCGTAAATCTGATTCATCAGATATCTAAGGGCAAGCATATAAACAAGTCTAGAAATCAAGAAATGAGGACTGTAGGTTAAGTTTGGGGATTGGTATACAGATGGCTTAGGATCAGCCAGTGGTATAGTGGTTAAGGATATGAGATCCCATGTGGCCAGCTGCATGGTTCAAGTCCTGGATCCCACAGCTTGAAAAACATGTCAAGTGTGTATGTAAAGCATGTCCAAAATCCTGAAAGGAGTTTTGCAGCTTTCTCACCAGCCCCCTGTCTCTTTCAAGCAAGTGTACATACTATACCAAAATAAAACTTTAAAAAATTTAGATAGCTTACAATGTTATGAGACTATGACCAAGGGAATGAATGAGTATATATAGAAGTTGTTCAAGGATTACACTCCAGACACCTGTAGGCTTTTAAGATGGAAGACATAAGACTGTGACCAAAGTAAGTTGTAAGTAAAGTATCCTGGAAGTCAAGTGAAGAAGGGAATGATCAAGCGTCAAATGCTGTCAGTAACTCCAGATGAGAACCGAAAACAGACAATATACTTGACAACATGCACGTACTGAGCTTAACAAACAGTTCCAGTGGAATAGTGAAAATATAAGTAGATTCAAAAATAATTCAACTCAGGGCCAGTGGAATAGTGAAGATATGAGTAGATTCAAAAATAATTCAATTCAGGGGTGGTTGAGGCACTGGACTCACACATGGCCAAATGCAGTTCGAGTCATGGCGGCTAGGGTTCTTACTCCCCCTCCCCCCCATGAATTAAAAACATATATGATAATAGGTACCAGCAGTTGCATAATGGCTAGGTCACTGGACTCCCATGTAGTCAACTGTGGTTTGAGTCCCGGACCTGGTGGCTTAAATTTACACCAGGCACATGTGTGTGAGTGCCCAAGATCCCGAGAGGAGAATACAGAAGGGATTGTGGTGTGGCCATCCCCCCTGGGGGGTGATTTCTCACTTTCTGTCTCTGTCTTTCTGGCGAGCACACACACCCTATAGCAAAAACGTCTCAAAGAAATATAAATATATATATAACAATAATAAAGTTAAATAAACCTTTTTTTAAGAAGTGCTTTTAAAAAAAGAATTCAACTCATATTCAACTGTATAGATGGACTCACTCACCTCCACTCTCTTTTCCCCACCAATGCCACCTCTAATCCCATCTCAGCTTCGAATAAAACTATAAAATGACTTGAGCCAGCCCTACAGCGCAGTGGTTAAGTGCTGTGAATTGGGAGTCAGACCCACATGGCTGACCACAGTGCAATTCCAGTTTGAAAACCATGCCAGGTGCATGTGTGTGCATGCCCAAAATCCCAGAAAGGAGGAAGACATGGAAAAGGGATTGTAGAGTGACCAAGCCCCCTGTATAATGCTTTCACTTCCCTCCTCTGTTTCTCTGCTTCTCTCTAGCAATCTACTTGCCCTCTGGCAAAAATGAAAATAAAATTTAATAAGGCTTTTACAGTAGTAGAGGCTTACTTCTCTACCATTTAAACTAAAGATGTACCATGTTTTTTACTTTTACACTAAATATACAAGTAGCAACAGTCATTCCTTTAAGCTATTTAGTTCTAAAGACTGCTGCATGACATCTGTATACTGCTACCACACCCTGAACCTGAACAAATCTGCCAATCCACATACGCACATACCAAGATATTCACTTCTGATTATTCTGTGAATAAAAGGTTTTATTTCGTTTTCCATGTTACATAAAACCCACAACTAGAGACACTACAGATGCAAAATACAGAAAGAAGTTGCCAGATTCAATACTCTAATTGGTAAGAAGCTAGAATCCTACATAGGTCATTGGGTTTTTTCTTTTTTATCTATCTAATTTTTAATTATTATTATTTAATTTGCTATAGGGCATGTGTGCTCACCAGAGACAGAAAGTGAAAGTGAGAAAGCAAGTCTAAGCCTGAGACTTGAACCATGGTCGGCCATGTGGGAGTCCAGCACCCCAACCACCATGCCACCTACTGGCCCCAAGTTATTAATTTTGTTGTTGTTTAAGAGAGATTTTTGCTACAGAGCATGTGCACTCACCAGAGAGACAGAGACAGAAAGTGAGAAATCATCCCCCAGGGGGGATGGCCATGCTGCAATCCCTTCTCCTCCATTCTCCTCTTGGGATATTTGGACATGCACACACATGCCCAGTGTTGAGTCTCAAGTCACCAGGTCCAGGACTTGAACCATGGTCAACTACATAGGAGTCTAGCCACGTAACCATTATGTCATCTGCTGGTTTCCCAAGTCATTGACTTTTAAGCTAAAACCATTCACCTTTGATCCTCAAAGGTATGAAGGGAAAGTGTTATTTAACTGTTGCTACATGTCTCTCAGTCTACTTGTTTCAGTCATCCAAGTTGCCGTTAAAACCCTTCAAGGAGCCCTACGTTCTTAACATTGGCAAATGCTTCTTTGAAGCAGCACAGGAAGATTAGTGTGTCAGGCACTAAAATGAAATAAAGAACGCTTTCATCGCCAAAGCAAGTATTCAGGCAGCAATCTCTGTATCCATTTCTATATCTTCTAGATAAAGCCTTACTCACCTGCCTTTAGGGACACTTGGATTGTTTTCATACTCTTTATTAGTGACCATACCATACTTCTTCAGTCATAGGTAGTTGAACAGTGACTGTGGGATGTACCAAGGGGCTTACAACTTAATGGATGTGATCTATGTAAGTTACCAGATACTGGACTATAAGTGCCACAAGACTGGTATCAATTACCAAAAAGAACGGTATGTTCAGCATTTGTCAGAAAAAATGTAAACACTTAAATAAGTTCTCTAATTTATTAACTATGAATTCCTAAGTGATCAGTCCATAGTATATGAATCTGGTGATCAATCACTCTAGTCACCTAGATATACCTCTTCTTTCATGAATCCCACTTCATTGATTCTCCACTTCTGATGCTATCCTTTTAACACACAAGGTTTACTCCAACCTCATATTCTTTCATAGTTATACTCCTCTAGTTCACCACACAAAGCATTTATTTATGGCTAGCAGTCTACGACTCGGGGCAAAGATCCACATACTCATAGATTGCTATATAGATCTTTTGAAGGGATCTCACAGTTCAAGCTCAGACATTTTCTTTACTCCTCTCAAACCTGTTTTCAGTTATACCAACTACAGTATCAGAATCCTATCCCACCCCAATAACATGAACTAAAATCCTCAATTTTACTTTTTCCTAATACACCCTTATCCATTTTACTTCAGAACAATCTCCCAAAACATCTTAATTACACTAAATATGAAATTATCACCTCACTAATACTATATAGTGCAGTCTCTCCAAAAGCTCAATATATTCCCACAGTACCACTCAGCATGCAATTTTATTGATATGCTAATTACACCATGTGACCATTTGCCTTATTTTGTATCTATCTGGCTTCCATTCTAGTTTATACATTCTTCAAGGGCAAAGAACATGTCTCATTTACCTTCTTTTCACAAGCAAATAGCCAGTGCTTGGTACATTATCTCTCTCTTAAGAATTTATAAGCTGCAGATCTTTCCTACATAAAACCCTCTGACATTTGAGTACCAAAGAACACTCTGAATACTACTTAGTTTGTCTTCCCGTCGGTTTTAGGCACTAATTTGTAGGCCTCCAATACTATTAATGGTCACAAGTCCACCAGTAATACTAAGACAAGATCCACATTAAACAGTAAATGTTTCAGAATCTGTTTCCTTGCCTCACTTTGCTGTGCACACACACATTGCAGCATTTCAGAAAAATGAAGATATAAACAAAAGGGAAAGTTAAACAAAAAACACCTATACAGCTTACAATCTATAGAGCTTATTCTCTCCACTAAAAAAAAGTCTTCTACTTAACTACTTTAAAAGGGATAAGAGGGATACAAAAGTATCCCTCTTCCACAGGCTTTAATTATTATTAGAACTTATGAATCCGAATTTACTTGAAACACTGAGACTTAGAAATCACTTAAATTTTATTAGCTTATGACCTTATCCATTTAATATGGGGAAAAACTCACTAATTCAATGCAGAAAGGATGACCTATTGAAGGATAATATGGGGCCAGCCAGGTGGTATGCTGGTTAAGGCAGCTGGATCCCACATGGCTAACTTTGCAGTTTGAGTCCTGTACCCAGCAGCTAAAGAAACATGCCAGATGCATGTACAAGCACAGCCCAAAAATCCCAAGAGGAGAATGGAGAAGAAAGGGTTACAACATAATCATCTCTCCCCTTCCCCCCCCCAGGGGGGTACTTTCTCAACTTTCCCTCTCAATCACTCTCAGTATCACTTTCCAGCAAGCAGAAGCACCCTATAGCAAATTAAAAGGAAAAACAAAACACAGCTTATATTTTAAAGAAAAAAAAATAAACTTTTACCCTTTCATATTCTTGAATACCTTATGATAGAATATTGCTCATATAGACTTGATATTCATAAATTATCTCAAATTATACACTTCTCATTTCTCACCTCCCCCATTTTCAAATAATCTTACCTTCCAACATGGTCTTGATAGTCACAGATTGTTTGGCAATTTCCACATCAACTTCAAATATCTCTCCATCAGAACTCTGCAACTTAATTGAAGGCATCTAAAAAATGTATATTGAGTATGAAATTTAAGAGATTAGTTCTATAAGACATCTCATAACTACAGTCTGTTAGAAGCCTCTAACCTATCTGTAAAGTTGGAAAGATCTACAGTACATAGTTCCATAACACTGCTAAAAGTAATATGTACAGGTAAAACCACAAATCTTTAAAAAAATGTGTTATGGAGAGGGAGCAGCATGTGGCATGGTGGTTAAGTTACTGGACACTCTGACATGGCCAACCAAGGTTCAAGTCCCAGACCTGGTGGCTTGCACACACACTCTCTCTTTAGTGTTTCTCTCTCTCTGGTCAAATGAAAATAAATAAATGAATGAATAAAAAAATTAAATAATTCTTTAAAAAAACAATTTGTTACAGGATGTGGGTGCATACTACAGTTTGGGGAGGGGCAGGATGGGAAAATACTCCTTAGAAGGACGGTCATTCTATGATTCCTTCTCATCTCAGTATTTTGGGGCATGTACACATGCCTGGCATGTTTTTCAAGCCATCAGGTCTGGGACCAGAACCATGTAGTCAGCCATGTAGGACCCAGCCACTTTAATCACCATGCCACCAGGTGTCACAGCCTACAAGCATTTTCATAAAAAAGTTTTCAAAGTATAAATCCTCTGAATAGAAGCTTTTTAAGGCCTGGGGCCAGGAGGTAGCATGGTGGTTAAGGTGCTAGACTCCCACATGGCCAACCGCAGTTCAAGTCCCAGACTTGGTGGGTTACTTTCTTACTTTCCCTCTGTCTCTTTCTAGTCAACTTTTAAAAATAATACTGATGAATAAAATTTAATTCTTTTTTAAAAGAATAAGTTTTAAGGTCTGCCCTACTGAACTTACAACTAGTATAAATTTAAGAGTTACAGTCTATACTCTTGATGCAAAATACATCTAAGATAAAATATATTTGCTGGAGCAAATAGGTCGCATGGTGGCTGGATGGCTGGACTCCCACATGGCTGACTCGAGTCTTGGACCTGGTGGCTTGCTTTATCACTTTCCCTTTCTCTCTCTGGTCAAAATTAATCATCATCATAAATGAAATTAAATAAATAATTTTTAAATAATTCTTAATATATATACACACACAAATTGGCTGGACCAGCCAGTGTGGCAAAGTGGTTAATGTGGCTGAATCACACATGGCCAATTGTGGTCCAAGTCCTGGATGTGGCAACCTGAAAAACACACCAGACTAAGTACGTGTGTGCCCAAAATTCTCTTTTTTTTTTTTTTGGAGAGGTTTTTGCTATAGGGCGCATGCACTTACCAGACAGACAGAGGGAGATATAGAGACAGAAAGCAAGAAATCACCCCCCGGGGGGAATGGCCACTCTGCAATCCCTTCTCCGTTCTCCTCTCAGGATCTTGGGCACACACGCACGGCGTGAGTTTTAAGCCACTGAGTCCAGGACGCAAACCGTGGTCGACTACATGGGAGTCCAGCGACATAGCCATTACGGTAACTGCTGGTCCCGTGTGCCCAAAATTCTGAGAGAATGGTAGAGAAGGTTTTCCAGCATTGCCACAGTGGTGGTGAGGGAGTGCTTTCTCACTTTCCCTCCCTCCCTCTCCAGCAAATGCACACCCTGTAGCAAATTTGAAAATAACAATATACATATATATCTCCTTTCTGCTCCCACTGAATACTAATTTCATCTAAACATTGGGTTGTTGAGAAACTCAAGAAGCATTTTTGCATAGAAAAACAAAGAAAAATACATTGTGACTTACTTTCCTGCAGACCTACTATTAAGTTAACCCCTATTAAGTTAACCGACAAAACTAACCACCTGCAAACTTGGAGAAGTCAAACCTGAAATAAGCACAGCTACCAAATAAAGTCATTCCCCCACTGAGAGATCTACCAGTGAAAAATGCATTCAGCTTAAGAACACATTGGGTTTGTACATTTATGTCTGAACCAATGCAAGACCAAATACACAAGAGTAAAATGACTGGAGGATAAGCAGATGTCAACACAATTCTATAAACTTAATAAACAACTTAAATTTCAATATTCTTTGTAGCTTTCATTACTAACTGTCCAGGTGTCCAAGTCTGAGATCTTCCTTGCTCCAAAAGTTTATCTGTTAACTTAAATTATGAACCACTAGGGAAAAGACACCTCTTACAGGGAACCAGCAATTAGCATAATGGCTATGTCGCCGGACTCTCACGTAATCGACCGCATAGTCGACCGCGGTTCGCGTCCTGGACCTAGTGGCTTAAAACTCACGCCAGGCGTGTGTGCGTGCGTGCCCAAGATCCCGAGGAGAATGGAGAAGGGATTGTAGCATGACCATCCCCCCTGGGGGGTGATTTCTCGCTGTCTCTCTGTCTCTATCTGGTGAGCGCACGCGCCCTATAGCAAAAACCTCTCCAAAAAAAGAGACACCTCTTACATAAAGAGTTAATTAAGCAATTAACTTCAAATGACTCAATTCCTAGCACCTGGCCAAAAAAGAAACTCTAAAAAGTTCTGGGCCAGATGTGTTGGTGCAAGCAGTGGCATACTAGAAGTGCTGGAAGCCACATGGCTGACCACAGATTCAGTCCGGAGTGACCTGAAACACATTGAATGTACACATGCCCCAAGATCATGACTAGGTAAGAGGTTGAAGGAAGGGGATGAAGGTGTTTCAAGACCCTTTTAAAGTACTTGTTTCTCTTCTGTGCTCTTTTGTAAAATAAATAAAACTTAGGAAAAGAAAAAAAAAAACTTGCCCAGCCTTAGTGGTGCAGCAATATAATGCTCCATGCTGGGACCATACAGGAAGGTCTCAGGTTCATGTGTCAAGAAGTTCATCTTCCTGTGCACACATGGCTGGTGGAGGCCAGGGATTGGATTGCTGGAGGTGCATGTCTCTCTGTCTGCCTCTCATCCCCCACCCATGGAAAAATTAAACAACAAACTTTTCTTAGGAACTTAATACACCTCCAAAGGTTTCTAGGTGTGTTATATTAAAAACACTGTATGGGCCAGCCAGTGACATGGTGGTTAAGGAAGCTGGTTCTTACATGGCTAACTTCGCAGTTTGAATCCTGGACCAGGAGGCATGAAAAACATATAGGACATGTGACTGTGTGCCCAAAATCCTTAAAGGAGGGAGAAATGGAGGAAGGGATTGTGTCAAGACCAACCCCCATGGAGTGTGCTTTCTCACACCGCCCTGCCGGCTCGCCAGTGAGCACACGCACTCATTGGCAATTTTTTAAAAATTATATCGAGAATTTCTTTCATGTCTATGCTCTTTCATGAATAAAGAAAAAAATGTAAACAGAAAGTTTTTAAGCATATTATGATTTTTTCACGAAAGTGTTAAATTTGGCACTTGAAATACTCATTGCATCTATTTTAGGTTCAAAGACTTAAGAACCACTACACATCAGTTAAAATATTCTCTGAACTCTTTTGAGACAATCATCCCCATTCCCTAAGCAGACAAGTTGTTTGGCATAGGAAGCAAAAGGTAAAGCATGTTTTAAAACCAGCCACTGAAGTGTCTTGCTCTCATCCAAGGTTGGAGAGAATCAGATTTCACTTTTTGGTTCACAAACAAGTCTGCTTCTCCATGGTGCTTAGTGCTTGCCAATAATGCAGTTGTCCGGCTCAATAGATAAGGACCAGAGCAGAGGATCCTCCCCTGTGACCAGGCAACAACAAAAGGTATCCCCTAAAGAAAGTATTTTCTTGTGAGCCCAGTTTTTAACTACAAAACATTTTATGTTTTTTTATATATACTCTACAACATGGGAACGAACGTTACACAATCACAAATCTTACAGCTGATAAAATCACTTTAAAAACAGCATTTTGCATTCTTTCTGAGAACTCTTGATAAATACAATAGCAAGATGTGCTTAGTCATAGTCAAATTTGTGACTCTAAAATCGGTATATTAGGTTACTCCTAAGGGAGATGCGATCATATGAAATAGAAGGGAGGCAATCTGTTCATCTGTAATTCAATGCACTTTGTAATCCTAGATTAAATGCTCAAAGAAAACCTTTAGTTATACTGAAATTATGTGCAAAATTCTGACATTAGTAATGAATAAAGTTTTGATTTGACACGCTTTCAAAACTATTTATTTCATCTTTTAATACTCAGAAAATAACCCTCCAAGAGTGGTAAAGAAGTTCTACCACATCATTTAAAATAAAACAAAACAAAACCCTGCGCTTTAAGTGACCCACAATTCTGCCACTTTTCGGACTGCAGGGTGGAAGAGACTGCATTGTTCTGTGACACAGGTTCTATTGTGACGCTCGAATGAGAAATGCATGCCCCCCAAACTCAAATCTCCATTAAAAAGTGAACCAAAGCAGGTGAACATCCTATCCCTTTAAATGACAGACATCTTGAACTAAGTTTCAGAGTCTCTGAGCTCTTAAAAGTCATCGTTATGACGATAGCTGCTATTATAGTAACAACATACAATAATTACTTCAAAGCCTCCAGGACGTGACAGAGGAATATACAGAAATATTCCAAAGGAGCAGGCAATACGAGGCGCCTCGGTGCCAAGGATCGGTAGCTAGTGACGCCAGATACAGGGGAGAAAGGGAAAGGAACCAAGAAGCTAGAGGTCTCGGACTACCAGCGCCACTCGTCCTTCCGACAACAAAAGCCAGACACGGACACACACCCACGCTCACGACAGCCAAGGGACTCCCCCATTCAAAGCCCGGCCGCCACCCCCTCTCGGGTCCCTGGGGTTCAGCTCCAGGCGCGCAGCCGGGCCCCTGCCGCCGAGTTGCGCGCCGGCTGCCGCCCGCCTGGGGCAGAGAAGGCCCAACCCGAGGCTCGGCTCCCATTCTCAGGGCGCCGTGAGGACGCGCGGCCAAGAGGCCTCGCCGAGTCGAGGGCGGAGCGGGTGAACCAGCCCTGACGGCGCCTCCGGACTACCAAGTCGGCAACGGGTTCCAGCCGGCCCGCAGGAAGACCAGGCCCATGTCGCCGCCCCCCTCGGGCAGGCCAAAGTCGCCGTGGTGGCGCCACCCAGCTCACATTCCCGGCGCCAGGGCCCCGTCCAGCTCGGTGGGCAACTACTCACGGTGCCCGGTCTCAGGGAGACGGCTGCCCGGACGCTGACGAGAGCGGAGCAGGGTTAGCAAACAACAGAAAGGAGAACAAGGCCACTCCGGCGGCGCGGCGCGGCGTCAGCCTTTATAGCAGCAGGCGCAGGCGCCGAGGACCCCGGGCTCGTGACGTCACACAGCCGCTGGGCTGGCCGCTGAGATCGCCTGACGGCAGGTCGACGCCGCCGGGGAGGGCGCCGGGCCCCAGGGGGCGGCTGGGGCGGGCGGCTGGGAAGGGGCTTTAGCCTTGCACCCCACCCTCGAAAGCGCGGTGCCTCCTCCTCAAAGTGGGCCCCTGGACGGTCAGCCACCTGCGCGGCTTTGGAGGGTCTTTCAGGCAGAGGCTGCCCTAAGCCGAGCGAATGACCCAATCCTGAAAGGCCTAGAAACAAGTACATGGGTTGTCGGGGTAGGGGTGTGGCGCCGCCGGAGGGTGTGTTTTCCCCTGAGCTGTGAGCGCTGTCGCAACCTGACTCTCCACAGAACTGCACGGGGTGTTCCCTGGTGCCCTACCGTTAGCCCCCTGCCCTTAACAGTGTATGTGGGGACAAGTTCCGAATGATTAAGAGACAGAGCCGGGATTTGAACCTTGCTCTTCAGTGTGGTGGTCTTAACTTTAGTTCCTAGCATGGACTTCTGAAGGGGAGCTCAGACCAAAAACGGCCATCATTGTAGGGACACCCCAGAGAGAAGACTCTATGGAGAAGTGGCTGTTCTTCCCTAACCATGCATTCAGGGAGCCAGCAGGCGACACGGAGGTTGGGTTAAGGCAGCTGGATCCCACCTGGCTTACTAAGCAGTTGGAGGCCCAGACTTGGAGAAACACCAGAGTGCGTGTGCATGTGTTCCCAACATCCTGTGAGGAGAATGGAAGAGGGGATTCCTGCATGGTCACCCCACCCACCACCTGCAGGGGTGATTTCTCAACTTTATTTCTCTCCTGTCCCCAGCCCCTACAGGCCTACATGCCCTATAGCAAAACCTTAAAAACAAGCAAACAACACCGCATTCAGACCCATGATGGGAACTTGGCAGTGAACCAGGTAGCCAAGACCCAGCCTTGGACAGTAGATTTGGATGGGTGCTCCCAGAAGGCTGCGATTGGTTAGAGGGTGAAGCCAAAACTCCAGAAGGAAGTCTGAAAGCACCCACCCCAGTCGGATTGTGCAACTGCCCCAGCCTGCCCTATTCAGCCTAGGGAACATTACCAGCCCCTCCCTAGGAGACTCAGGCGCCTGGCTCACCTAACCAACAGGCATGTGATAGTATTCATGACACCAGAGACACAAAAGACACTTCCACACAGGGCCCCCCAAAGAAACCAGAAACCTACAGCTACTGTGGGATAGGAGGGAGCAGGGAGGTCAAGCAGCTCCTTGGGTTACCAGGTCTTTGTCTACAAGCGGTGGTGTCCAGTGTCTGCCAGGTGCCACAGCAGATGAAAGATGAAAGGCCTGCGGCTCCCAGACTGTTTCTCCGCAGTGCAGCGTTGTGCTCGCAGCCTCAGCTCTAGACCTAGTCAGAGCCCACGGGAGCCTCTCTGCCACCCTGCCCATGGCATATAGGTTGGCTGATAAACTCTTGCTGGACATTCTAAGTGGACCAGGGCAGAGCCAGGTCACACAGCCAGCCTGAGGATCCAGTGTTGACCTGGTACAAAGAAGTTATATGTTTGACCAAATATGTCTGAGAAACCCCAATATTACAATCACCAAGAGATACTTGTTTTTAAAAGTGTAGGTTTCAAGGCCAGCAGGTGGCATGGTGGTTAAGGGTACTGGACTCCCACATGGCTGACTGTGGTTTGAGTCCCAGACCTGGCAGCTTGCTTTCTCACTCTGCCACTGCCCCCACTCTCACTCTGTCCCTCTGTGGTCTAATTAAAATAAATAAATGAGTAAATGAAGTTTAAAAAAAATTTTTTTTTGGAGAGGTTTTTGCTATAGGGCATGTGTACTTGCCAGAAATAGAGAGAGACAGAAAGTGAGAAATCATCCCCCACGGGGGATGGCCACTCCTCAATCCCTTCTCTTCCATTCTCCTCTCAGGATCATGGGCACACACACACACACACACACACACACACACACACACACGGCATGAGTTTAAGCCACTGGGTCTGGGACTTGATCCATAGGAGTCCAGTGACATAGCCATTACCAACTGCTGGTCCCAAATTTAAAAATTCTTTTAAAATAATGGAGACTTCACTTACTTGTGTTGAGTCGTCAGAAAAGTCATGACATATTTTCCTGTGTTTTTCTATGCAAAAATGTGTCATGACTTTGCTGATGACCCATATGCATTATCTTAGGAAAGACACTCAACAAATTGGTCGCCTTTGGAGGGGACTGGATGGCTGGAGGACAGGAGCTGGGGCGATTTTTCACTTTATACCCTTTTTACCTTTTAGATATCGATCCGCATGAATGTATTACATAGTCAAAATTTTGTTTACTCCAGAAAATAAGCCCCAAGAGCAATGTGCAATGCATATTCCCAGATCTACTCTCAATCTAATGAATGAGACTCCCAAGGGACAGGTTAGATTGCCTAATAAACAAGTCCTCCAGGTGATTCGTAAGCCCAGGGTAAATTAAGAAACCTCTGTTCTAGGGTCTCAGTGTTGAAGCACTGCCCAAAAGGCGCAGCAGTGTGTGTTAGAAGTGACTGTTCAGCTTCACACTTCCAGGATCAGTTCTACCTGTATTTAAGTTCTCCACTCAGGAGGATCCACAAGGTAGTTGCGGAGCTATGGGGTTCAGGCTGGGAATGCCTCAACCTACTCTTCCAAAATAACCAGCCTCTGGCCAGAAGGCATAGAGGTTGGGATGGCTGGGTCCTACATGGCCGACTGCACGGTTGATAGAGCCCTTGACCCCGCGACTTGAAAGTCATGCAGTGTTGGGGCCGGCAGGTGGCATAGTGGTTAAGGGCACTGGACTCCCACATGGCTGACTGTGGTTCAAATCCTGGACCAGGTGGCTTTCTCTCTCTTTCTCTCTTTCCCCTTCTCTGGTCAAAATAAAATAAGCAAATAAATAGATAAATAAAGTAAAATAAAATAATTCTTAAAAAAAAAAGAAAAAAAAAGAGAAAGTCATGCAGTGTATGCCTGTTTGTGTGTTTGTGCACACGCGCAAATCCAAAGGGTTCTGGAGGAGAAGGGATTTTGGTGTGGCCTTTTGGGGTGTGTGTGTGTGTGTGTGTATTTCTCACTTTCTCTCTCTGACTCTCTTTGGCAAGCACACGTACCCTATAGCAAAAAAAAAAAAAAATCTTAAAAAAAATTAAGCAAAATCACTAGCCCATGTAGAAAAGAACTGGCCCCCTAAGTGTGGATATGTATGTGGGCGTGAAGGGAGGGTAGTGCCTCTGGCTCCAGAACTGGCCCTGAGGAGGTCGAAGCCTCATCCTTCAATCACTCTACACATCAAGTAATTAAAACCCCTTGTTCTGCAGGACAAGGACACAAAGCCAAAGAAAAGGGACTTTTGCAGTGCCACACAGCCGCTGAAGAACAGAGCTGAGCCTCCAAGTCCCAGCCATGTTCCTGCCATCACAGCAGATACCGAATCTTAGCCTCACCCTCAAGTGCCAGGACCTTTTCTGATTTACAGCTATTCTCAGAATCCGACCTCCAAGAGAGCTAAAGACCCCAGATTCAAACAGCCCAAATGGGAAAATGTTTTTGTAGTGAATTCATTTCCAGGGAGGATCTCCCTTTGTAAATGGAGTGTTCATTGGACCAGCTGATGGTGTAATGGTTACGTTGCTAGACTCTCACATGCTTGACTGTGGTTCATGTCCTGGACCCAGAGGCTTGAAATTCATGGTGGGCACATGTGCGTGTGGGTGGGTGCCCAAAATCTCAAGAGGAGAATGGAGAAGGGATTGCAGTGTGGCCACACACATGCACACACCCCAGTGGGTGATTTCTCACATTCTGTCTCTCTCTGGCGAGTGCACATACCCTATAACAAAAATTCTCTCCAAAAATAAAACAAAAAGAAGAGTGTTCATTGCTATGAAGCATGTAGGAAGGTTCCTGTGAGGAGCAATCCTCTCAGTACATCTAAAACAGGACCTTGCAGCTCAGAATTCAGTTCCCTTTCTCAGGTACCCGTCCATGGGACAGACTCTGGACTCTTGACATGTGTTCCAGCCAGAGGATGGCACATAGCTGAGAAGTAACTCAGTCCTCACAGTCAAAAATCTCTTAGCGCACCCTGCTGCTGTGTTCACTCGAGTCAGACCGACTCTGCCTTGTGATCATGGGTAAGTTACTTCACCTCTCACCTCACCTCCCTCTGTTGAGACTCTGGAAGGTCTGACAATACCAGAGCCACATTGCCAAGACTGCGGTGGGGCAAGGATGGAGCCAGAGAGTGAGCCACCAGAGTAGGTCTCTGGGAGGGGACTCACTCCCACTTACACCCCGCAACCTCTTACTCGAGGCTGGGAGAGATTAGGACCCCCATATAGGTTCGGAGGCTCTCAGAGTGAAGAGTGGTCTGCGGGTAAGGTCTAGTCTTCCATGATACAGGCAAGTAGAACCAGCAGCAGGGGGTGCCTAGGCATAGGGGTCGGGGCAGGGGAGCGTCTCAGGTCCATCCCAATGTGCGAGGATCCCAAGGAGTATCCAAGTATGTCCTGGGGCCCTAGAACAGTCTGGAAGTTGCTGAAAGGGGAGGCAGGTAACCAGGAATGAGATGCTAGGAATGTAGTGGATCACTAAAACAGATGAAGTTAGTCTAAGCCAAAGACCATGGCATCAATGCATACATCTGTGGGCACTGTAGAAGCCAAGAGTGACAACCCACAGCTGGCAGAGGTGACATATTTGCCTCCCTGAACAGTAAGGGTGGTGTCCAAACCTGACAACCTTCAGCCCCTTCATGCTCCATGTTGTGACCACGTAAGCTCTGCCAAAATGTAACTGTGACCCTAGAGATGCGACCACGTATACCCCAAAATGATCACACGCTTGACCAAATTTGCCAGGAAGTGACCAGATTTTATTTCTGCTATTAAGGAGGCAAATGTTGTAGAAAATATTAGAACACTACCACTCTGGCAAGTCCGAGTACTGACTTGAAATTTTCATACAGCCACAGGT